TGGCGTGAATTACCTGCATACCAGTTTGTCAGAATCAACATGTAGTCATTTAGAGCTCAAGGACAACCTCCTTGCCAAATCTGACGATAGTAGGCCAGTTACTTGCTAATTATGTATTCTTCATGTTTTAGTGGCGAAGATCAAAGTGATATTTTCCTTTGACCTACTGACCTCAAAACTGAAACTGCCACTGCATGACTTGAATACCCTAATTAAAGCAGCTTTGCCTGGGGTTGTTTAATGATGAATATATGAACATTATTAAATGCATCAAATGTACAAATGTCAAAATCAATACACTTTGAACAGGCATTCTTAAGCAGTGAACAAACAAGCGTATTGTAGTAGAGGACCCTGTGACCTTGACCTTTGATACAGTCACCTAAAAATCAATAGGGCTCATCAACTAGTCATAACCAACCTCAGTACCAAATATGAAGACTGTCAACTATAGCATTCTTAAGCAATTGAGCGGAAAAGTTTTTTAAACTTAAGGACCTTGTGACCTTGACCTTTGACCCAGTGATCTCAAAATCTATAGGGGTCATCTACTAACCTTGACTAACCTCCATGCCAATTATGAAGACTGTTGGTCAAAGGAATCTTTAGATTTTGGGCAGGCACGCTTTTTTTAATCAAGGCCCTGTGACCTTGACCTTTGACCCAGTGACCTGAAAATCATGACTAGACTCCATGCCAAATATGACGACTGTAAGCCAAAGGAACCTTAAGTTATCGGGCGGACAAGCATTTTTTAGTCAAGGCCCCTGTGACCTTCACCTTTGACCCAGTGACCTCAAAATCAATAGGGGCCATCTACTAATCATGACTAACCTTCATGCCAAATATGAAGACTGTGGGTCAAAGGAATCTTAAGTTATTGGCCTGATGGTCGGACAACAAGCTGATTCCAGTATACCCTCCTTACAACTTAATTGTGCGGGGTATAATTATGGCGTCTATTTTCACGAAATATGATAAAATTCCATATATTTTCAGGAGCCGGAACAACTTTTAAACAGTTTGTTTTTAACAAATATGAAGTATATTTGACTGATATAGCAACATATTTCATGGGTAAAGTTACATAAATTGTCTTTATTCTTCCAAAACAAAATATGAGTGGGACAATTTTTTTATACAGTAAAAAAATTGTAAAAAATAAATACTCCATACATTTGAATAGCTAATAAGTTTAGTAAGAAAATCCTAAATTTCAAATTTTAATAATCTGAAACTGAGCAGTTTAACTAGAATGCCTGTATGTACATGTTGACCTGACACTACACTGGAAACAAAGGGAGGTAATTATGGATAGGAACACAAGTGTGATAATATGTAAGAAGTACTAAGAAAATTCTTCTTTTTTTTCAGAAAAGCTTTAAATGTTTGGTATCTTGTTAGTTTCCAAAAAATACTCATTTGCCATATAGATGGACTTTCTTTGCTTCTTTTGCTATGTTGGCAATTGGTACATGTATAATTATAGTGAATGGAAGTCAAAATATTACTTTGTTTACATTTTGCTGCCTTTACAATACATTACTGCACATTTCGTGCTACTTTTTTCAGCTGTTACTTTCTTCAACTGTTAAACACCTAACATGCTATAAATTCATTTTTTAAAACATTATTAAACATGTTTGACATTTCTAAAGAATTTTATAAATACCAGTATGGATTTCTTGTATAAAATTTTGCACACTGCACTTTTTCAAATTGTAAGTGCAAAGTAATAATTAAAATTATTTACACAATTGTGATAATCATGCCCAATTTAATAATCAGTACTGGTTATTATAATAATAATATCATAAGTCAGAATACAGTGTCAGTTAAACATACCACAATAAAATCACCACAAAAATCACCAGAAATGCCGCAATGTAACATGTATTATTGTTTATTAAACAATTTGTATTACTATTATATATTATATAAACATAGCAGATATCAAACTGCAGCCATCAGTGGCATATATTTACCCCTATGATATGTCTTTGGCCCTTATTTAAAATTCCAGGCTGAAAAATCCAAAAATTCTGTCGAAATATGATGGCTAGTGTTGTGGCATTTGTACAGTGAAATTATTTGATGTATAACAAAGAACAGTATAATATTTCAATCTAACATATCTTGAATAGTTTCTAAAATCAAAGAAAAGTTACGCATAGAAGAGTATTTCTCTATATATTCCATAATTCTCACAAAATTGTTTGCAAAACACCTGCAATTTATGCAAGGACCCTTGATTATGATGCTTCTGTAAAAGTTTAGTAAACGTATTTGAAAAATGTAGCAGGAGTTGAACACAAAAGTGTATTTCTCAGGGGCTTTTTTATTTCGAAAAAACAAAGGGCAATAACTCCACAAAAAAGTTTTGAATCATAAAACCACAACAAAAAGTTTGAATTGTAAAACACTGACAAAATTCACCAGGAAACATGATGACACAGCTTATGTGAATTTTTGGTCAAGATCTGTTGAGAAATGTCGGAGGAATTGTTCATAAAAGAAATTGTTTACACCCGCCCGCCAGCCCCCACTACTGAAGGAAAACTGGTATAACATATTGATTTCAATACATGAGATCAGAAAAATTAATCTTTATCATCATGATAATATCAAAATTCTAACACAATTTTCATAATTTAACAAATAATAATACATCAACTCACCAAAAACAAACATGTTGATAAAAGAATTGACAGCAAAAAATGGCATCAAAAGAAATAAAATCATAAACATTTAAATATGTAGCATTCAATCCTTTTCACATAAGACTTAGTAACACAAACACATCAAAAATAATTTAACATGCATAACATATAAACCAACACTTCACATATAAATCTGCCTTTTTACATATAATCAACACGTCAAGCACATTTAACCCAACATTTTACATATAATCAAATATGTCACATACAATTTAACATGTCACATACCATCAAATATATCACATCCAACATGTCTATAAAACCAAACATTTCTTATATAATGGAACATGTCTAATATGTAACATAAAATACAGCATGCAATAGATAGGTAATAGTTTGGATAAATAGAGCAATGAAAAGAAAGGAAATATTTTTTTAATTTTCAGGTCATATTATCTTAATAATTTATTCCATTTCTGAAACACATACTAATGCACCAGTCCAATAATCCCAGGAAAAGTGTTAGGGAATAATAAGGAGTCAACAATGGTGTATCACCAATCCATTTAACCAGCAAAAAGAACTGGTATATCATAAAGGATTTCTCAGGTTCTAGTATATAAAAATATCAGACTTAAGACTACATTAAACATTTATCACAAAATAAAAAGAACAATAATCTGTTACACAAATGTACAGCAAGAGCGATCAGTATCACATATGTCGCATGATGATAGCAAATTAAGCAGTTGTATTGAGGGGTGACTACATACTTTGTTCCCTATATGTTGCTGTTTTTTGTAGTATGTTGCAGCTTCTGTATAGCTGGCAAAACCAAAAACCACTTACAGACCAAAATGCCTGGTTTATTCAAGGGCCATAACTCAGTTGAAAAACAACCATAATTGTTAAATATGCACAAGTACTTGAGGTAGTGTTCAATCATGTCACTTTTCATCCAAATTGCATTAGAAGTATAAGAGAAATACTGTAGTCCATACAAACTTTAAAAATACAAATCATTTAAGGGCCACAACTCTTGACAAAATCATTGAACTGGATAATGCTGATAACTTGGTGCTGATCATTCCTGTAAAGTTTGGATGAAATTGGACCAATTGTTTTTAAATAATCCAGGCAAGTTTTGTGATTAATGGACAGACAGAGGAATGGAAGCACAGACAGATGACAGAAAAGTGATCCATATATGATAAGGTGATAGAAAAATGATTATAATGTAACATAATGCAATATGTAAAATGACAACATGCAAACATAATTGCTTTCATAATTGAACATAATTGTTTTCATTATGGTTTACATACAATAAGATTACAATAGAAAACATAATATCATATAATTATGACTTCTAATGAACTTAATTTTAGTAAAATCAACAGATACAATAGCTTGCAATAAAGTTTATACCATTATAATGCTGAGTAAATATGGAATGATTTTTAAAAATTTCTTCCTTGACCTATCTATGATCACAATTTCATGTCACATTTCAGGGCTAAAAGTCAAAAAAGTAAAAAAAAGTAAAGAACAAATTCTACTTTTGTTGGCATTTTGGTAACCTTAAGTGTTACTTGTATTCTTTATAGAAGTCAAATAAGTGAGGAAGCTGTTCACCTAGGTTATGTTAAATCAGTGGTTCTTTTCGGGAGTCACTCATGCTTAAAATAATGCAAAGAGAGGCCAACTGAGATCTTTCTCCACTATTTAAGCTGGAATGTCATTATATAATATGATCTTTAAAATGTGTATTATGTTACTTAAAACTCAACAAAAAACGGTCAGTGCCTGGTCCACAATCACCATGGAATTTTTATAAAAAATACATCAAAAACTTTCGTGAAACTTATGTAAAATTATGATAATGGCAATTAATAAGACTGAATATAAAGTGTAAAACTAATAGATCTGTAATAAAGCAACAATATATGCTGGTTTTCCCCTTACAAAAATAAATTTTGATAATAAATGATAACATATGTATTTCCCTTCTTTCTGTCTCACTTGAGAAAGTTGGGTGAAGTCCCTCAAACATAACAATAAAAAAATAAATTTACCTCATTCTGACAAATAATTTATATAACCTATGTTACAAAACTTGTACATAAAACCTACATGCAGGTACTACTTTGAACTACTTAACCATGTTATACTATGCAGATGCTTTACTACTATGAACTACTGGACCATGTTATTCTATAAATTTATAAAGCTAAACCTTCTACACCTATTAAAAGCAGCAAATGAGTATTTTGTTGACATAATTCATGATGTGTTAAAAACAGATATTTTTACATGACTGTACAGTTTTGAACTTTCTTCAGAAAGCCTTCAGTTCCAGGAATCATTCTTACACAAAATTGTTTAAGATAATTTTTGTTTTTAATAGTTTTCTAAAAATTGTAACTTATTTAATATGTTCCCTTGAACTCTTGTTACATTAAAATAATATTCATAGATATATCTAAGGAAAATATAAAACCAATCAATTGATATCTAAACTTAAAATTCATCATCATCATCTTCACTATTGAGCAAATGGTGTGTTGGGGATCTAAGGGAAGTAACTCCTGTAGATCTATTCTTGCCACGAAATACAATTCTTGGCATTTTTCTGGCATTATGACAGGCACAGATGGCAAATATCCCTGCTAGTGTCACACTAAGTCCAACTACGATAAGAACTGAAATAGAAAATAGAATCTGAACTTATACTGCATCTTAGTTGACTCCAAACCAAGGGTTCCACTAGGTATTTTTTTTAGGAAGTCAGGACTTCCTTTTAAGGAATTTTTGAAGTCATGAGGAAAATTTCTGGAAGTCAGTTGTTCTTTCGCGTATAATTTTAATGTTTCAATGTTTGATTTATAGTATGGGATGATACAGGTAACAGCAATTATTTTAATCACAAGCTTCTAAAAATGTCATTCCTTTGTAATGTATTAAGTTCAAGGTACCTTCACATGATTGTTGGGTAACAAACCCTTCTATCAATGAAAGGTATCTCTCTACAAATCCAATATTAAATTTAAGATATCTGTCTATAGATAATGGTCCTAAAGGGATACAAACAAGAGCTGTCAGTAGGACAGCATGCTTGACTATTCTCAGTGCTTGAAAGTAAAGAAAAGCCTGGATATTGTAACAGTCAACAGAGGAAGATTTTATTCCTAAAATACAAATAATGTACATGGCATATTTATTATTCTTGGATAATGACCAAAGAATTTGTGCACAAAGGGCCTTATTTCATTTTAAATTCATGCCTGGAAAATTACCTTGAATTGTAAAAATTAAAAAAAAACCTGAATCAAAATTCAAGTGAATACAATCAGAAGTTTTATGGAAGATTAACATTGCAAGCAAAACTTTATTCCTTATTTACAAAGGGCTATAATTCAGTCAAATCCATGTCAGAGTTAAATATTTTGTTAGATTTTAAGCCATTTTTAAGATTTCTATAACAGATGTTTACCAGTCCTGTGTAGGTAGATTTTCATATTCCTATAGATTTTAATCATCTATTACTATAGTCACAGATTCTGGTTCATGATAAAAGAAAACCTGTACATTGAAAGCTATACTTTTTTTTTTTACCATTTTGCATTACACATTTTTTTTAAATATAATGTTGACAAAATTCTAGGTATGGCTTCAATTGTCACTGTCCCAAAACCGTTAACAAAGATTAGGAAATGACTGATAATAAAATTACTAAGAAGGAATACAAACTTACAAGAAATCCCTGTCATTGAAATGGTGTCCTTGACAGATATTTCTCTCAGTAAACCTTTCACGTTGTCAAGGGAACCATTATTTGGTGCAGGTTCAATACCCAATATATGGCACATCAAAGGGTAAATATCCACCGAGTTAAACTGTTCTGAAACATATCCCTTTTTAAAGGCTGGCCCCATCGCTATGAAGAAAGGTCGCATATTTGGCACTATGTGAGGGTCGTAACCATGGACACCAACTGAAAACAGATATGTAAAAATCAAATTGTTAGGTCCATTATGCCTTAGAAATGCTAACATGTTTATTTCCCAAAAACTTTTTATTTATGGTATCTTGTCACAGTTTCAAAACAAATACTCATTTGCCATACACATAAACTATCTTTTGCTTATTGTGCTCTGTTGGCGTTAGTTTAGTTAATTAGTATATTGTATTGAAGTCAAAATACTACTCATTTTACATTTTGTTACCTTAACCACATACCAATGCATGTTCACCGCTACTTTTTTTAGTTGTTGAATACCTAATATGCTCTAAATGGATTATTAAAACATCTTTAAACACATGTTTAACATTTTTCTAAAGAATTAAGAAAATATGGATTCATGGAACACATTGTATAAAGTAACTTACTGGTGGTATAAAGAAAGCAATAAAGCTCTCCATATGATTTCTGATGGATTCTATTACTTGATAGAATATCTGTGTAGATTTATTATACCCTCCAAATTTTTGAAAAAAACAAACAAAAAACATTGCTGTTTCTTTGTATTTAACATTCAAAGCTACAAAATGTATTGCACTTAAAAGATTTCCATATTCTACATAAAATCATTTACAAATCTGCCTGAATTACATGTATATATGTTGAAAAAATTTGGGCCAAAAATCAAAAATTAAGACTGTAGGTCTAAAACAAAATATTGTTTGTTTCCCTTCCCAATCCATACCCACAAAAAATCTGTCTAAAATATAAAAAGACTCCTTGTATAAACTAAACGTTTCAGGCAAGTTCTAAATAATATTTACAGAAATTTCGTTTTTGATCCGGGGTTATTTATCAATTATATGAAGTAAATTATTAAATTAAAAGGAATAATGGGAATATAAAAACTTTGACTTATTCACTCACTGTATACACTTGAATGGGCATAATGTCACTTTAAGCAAGTGAAGAAATAATAAACTTACAATGAATTGTATCTAGGGAACAATTACAATTTATACAGTGACCAATATTCACACCTTACTGAAACTTTTAATTTTACACTCAGTTTGGAAAGAGAAAGTTTTCACTCACAACTTTCGTAACTATCTTGACTGTTTTTATCAGGAAATATAATAACTCCTTCCTGTGACCCTGTTAGCACAATTGGAGCAATTCTTTCACTTGAGCTGTAGTGTAGCTTTTTCAATTCATCTCCTCCTTTTTTATAAACATTTAAAAAGCTAACATTTTGAAGAGCATTCAAAATATTTTCTTCTTCACCTGAAAATAAAATAAATATTGATATATTGTGTTCTTTTTGTAAAACAAAACAAAAACAAGAATCTGTGTTTGATAAACACAAATGCCCCCGCACTCACTGTTGTCAATAATTTAACTTTAGAGAGTGAAGTAGCTAATTTGTATGTGTCTTCTCATCTGAGCATGTTTTACTCTATCCTTCAGTATCTTTTCCATCTTGATTATTTCTCTCAAAAGCCTTTAGCTATTAAACTTGGTAAGTAAATGCCTTCATTTATTGTTAACACGTTTTTAAATGATAAGAAAGGACAATTTGTTACTAAGAGATGCAAGCAAATTATCGCAGTTCATGAAGAAAACCAATCATGTGTAGATTGGCACCCTTGACCTTGACCAACTGACCCCTACCTCTATCAAAAGGAAGAATATCATGCAACTTATTTTCCTACCAAATATGAAATAAATCCGTCAATAAACAGAGGCTGTATGGGCAAAAGTGTAAAAAATCTATTTTTAGCACTGGTGACCTTGACCCAACTGACCCCTAACTCCATCCAAAGGAAGAATATCATGCAACTTATTTTCCTACCAAATATGAAATAAATCTGTCAATATATAAAGGCTGAATGGGCAAAAGTGTAAAAATCTATTTTTAGCACTGTTGACCTTGACCCAACTGACCCCTAACTCTATCCAAAGGAAGAATATAAAAGTTATCTTCCTACCAATTATAATACAAATCTGTCAGTAAATAAGGGCTGTATGAGCCAAAGTGTAAAAATCTATTTTTAGAACTGGTGACCTTGACCCAACTGACCCCTACCTCCATCCAAATGAGAATACCTCAATTTTATGTTCCTACAAAATATACAAGACATCTGTCGATAGAATAAGGTTAATACACCTGTGAAAGAGTAAAAAATCTATTTTTGACATTGGTGACCTTGACCCAAATGACCCCTTACTAAAGAAAAAGGAAGAGGACCTCCCTTGGTATGACTATTATAAACATGAAAGACATTAACTTAAAAATAAAGGCTGTATGAGCAGAAATGTTTAGATTTATTTTTTTACACAAGTGACGTTGACCTTGACCTAGAGACGCCTAACGCCACAAAAAATTAGAGGACTGTTAAAGGTATCCACCTACCAAATATGAAAGATATCATTAAATAAATTAAGTAATTAGGTGAAAATTTTTGATAAATCCAACTTGGCGGAATAGGTTAACCATACAAGGCCCTATTTTCAAAGTGATAAGAAGGGAAATTTAATACTGGGAAAATGGATGGCACATTTATATACCTTGGCAATATCATGTAAATTGTATTGATATGTAAGTGTGAAAATTATTAAGCCATTAGTTCAGATAGAACATAAGATATTTCCAACTTGCCAGTTTAGGTTAACCATTATTCATTTTCTAAGTGCTGAAAAGGGCCATAACTTGGTGCAAATGGAAGCCATAGTTATGTAACTTGCCCAGATAATATACTTTGTATGGATTAGTAAGTGTGTAAATTATGAAGCCATTGGTACAGGTAGAACTTAAGAAAAATCCAACTTGCCGTTCTAGGTTAACCTCGTACGGACGGACGGACGTCTGGCCGAATTGGAATATTGTTATTTTCTATTGTTTAACAGAGGGCCAATGACCCCCTATTCTATTGTTACGGAATGAACTCTTTTGTTCTGTTTACAGTTAGATGGCCCTCTAACCCTTTTCGGTAGTGCGGACAGACGGACGGACTGTTCAATTACTATATGCCTGGGGGCATAAAAATTGTTTTTCAATTATTTCTATTTATAAAGCAACACAAAAACTATTAAAGCAATAATATAACAGATATTACATGTTACTAATAGAACATTAACAGACACTTCAAACACTAGAGCTTCTGAAGGGTACTCTGCTGGTTTTGGTCAGGACACAAATTTTCTACCCTTGTGACATTCAACATGGTATCATGAGGGTATAATACTTGGAGTCAGTGCAAATTTGTCCAATGCACCAATTTAAAATCAGACGTCAAGTTTTAATATAATGGGGTAGTTTGTCAATCACCATATAGAATACTAGCCTTAATTAGGCAAAAGATAGTAGCTCAGTCAGTAGAGCTGTGGAATAGTGTTTTACAAGTTGGTTTGAGTCCTGAAAAAGGTTCATCAAGTTATTTACTTAAGTACATGTTTAGAATTTTGTAAACCTGCAAAAGATTAATTTATGTTGTACATCTTACAAATTATGCATTTCTTATATTTAAAAGTTCAAAGCATGTTCTTACCTTCCTCTGGAAATATATTCACTGTCATGTGATTTCCATTTCCCCCAAAATTTTCAGCCCCAGTTTTATACCAGGATGCATTTAGATACTTATCTAGCAACACTGTTTTGTCACTTGACTTATTTGTAAATCCATGATCTGCTGTCAAAATAATATTAATATCATCAAGTAAATGTACTTCTTTCAATCTCTTAAAAAGGTAGTCTAAAACTTCATTCAATTCTCCCTTTATAAAATCCAAGACTTTTTCAGAGCCAGCACCATATTTATGAGCAATTTCATCAGGCTCAGGAAAATATAAAAGTCCTAAATTTATAGGAGCTTCTTCATCTGTGAACCATTCAATCAGTTTATCTACACGCACATGAAAACTAATATTACTAAAGGCATTAGCGTATGGAATTACCCTGTCAGGTCCTATTCCTTTCACTTTTCCTATTCCAGCTGGCCAAACAACTGACCCAGAATTTCTCGAATTACCTGCCTTTTTATTTGTAACATAAATTGGTTCAGCACCAACATCATACCAGAATGGATCAACATTGTCTCGAGCATTATCATACAGATAATATTCTTTCCAAAAAGCATCATAAAATCTGTTGTGGACAATGCCATGAGTTTCTGGATACAGTCCTGTAATCAAGGTGTAATGATTCGGGTATGTCACAGTGGGGAAAACATTCATAATAGATTTTGCTTTCACACCATTATTAATCATATACTGAAAATTCTTAGTTTCATTCACTGGAATCAGATCAAGGTAGTTGTACCTAAATCCATCCATCGATATCAACAGAAGTTTTGGCAGCTTCGTAAAACTTGATGCGCCGCCAAGCATAAATATTATGTGACAAATGCAAGGTATTAACACTTTTGTTAGATCCATGGTCTCTAAATTAGATTTCAAGTATTTCCTTAAGTCTTTAACGGTCTTTATATTTTCATATTATAGTGAATACAGTACACATAAATTTCTATATCTGTTTTCGGTTCCACTTGTCATTTAAAATTAAGTGTCATGACTTTTCGCGACATTTCGTTTATACACATTATTTCCTACCAGTGTAATTATTGGAGATTGTCAAGTCTATCACGACATTTTGATAGAGCCAATTTATACTTCTCCACCTCTCAAAAGAGAAAAAAATTGGAAAAAAGAATGAAATCAATATGTTTCTAATTTTCTACTCTGGCCGGTTTATTTACGGAAGTGACGTCTCAATTATCTACTTATAGTAACCTAAAGAATTAGAATTCTCGCAGGAAGCGACAAATTGAATGGAATGGAATGGAATAGAATAACTTTTTATTTAAACCAATTAAGGGCCATGTTGAAGGCCGACTTTGCCCCAAAATGCATTTGTTTTTATTTCTCGAAAGTATTTTAATTTTGGTGTCCTGTTATAGCTTCCAAAAATTTTGATCGAGGACCTGACTGATCGAGGACGTGTCCAATCACTCTACATGAACCCCATCGTTTGCTTTTCCTGCTTTTTGCAACAGTGATTTAGTATACGTTGACTACATGTATTTAACCCATTGTCTTCTTCTCTCACTATAAACATTTTAACCATGACTAGAATGTTCTTACAGTCTCACCTTCCTGGCATATTAAAATACGTACCTGGACTATATTTTGCTTTTTGTCACCTTTTACTAGTAACAATCCGACGCTCATTTAATTCCTATCTATAACACTCGCGAGAGGAATTGACATAATTCTACGGTGGCACAAATAAAGGCAACATGTGTGTATTTTTATTTATCTCGTGCGCACGAGATAGCTTAAAGTCGTGGGAACGAGATACTATGTCGTGGCCACGCGTTACTAATTAAGTCGTGGCCACGTGATAGCTAAGTCGTGGGCACGAGATACTATGCCGTGACCACAAGTTACTAAGTCGTGGCCACGAGAGGAACATGATACTATGTCGTGGCAACCAGTTACTAAGTCGTGGCCACGAGATACTAAGTCACGGGAACGAGATAACTTAGTCGTGTGCACGAGATAATAAACCAATCAGATTACACTATATATATTATGATTTTTTTAACTTTAAAAAAATCTGTATTAAGTTTTACATGCAACAGTAACCTGTTAAAATACTGAAGATATTCCCTTTGAACATGTCTTTAGGATCATATTAGAAAGTCACCTTCCAAGGCCCATCAGACATTCATTTTGACTATAGCCCTTTGTGGGGACAATTTTGTGATCGAATTGGTCAGTTTTTACGTACTACGGCCTGTTAATCTTGTTTATACGATAACATGAGTAGGAATAAATCCTGGTTTATTTTCTTTGGTAGGGACATTGCCCGTGGACAGTAGATAGCCTATAAGGATGTTTGAGGTCAAGGTTACCATGACACTTCATGTAAAATCTTTGTCTGATGAATAATTTAGAAGGAATAAGTCATGGTTTATATCACCTAGAAAGATCATTGCACCTGATCAGTAGATCTATTAATTTCGAGGTCATTGAGTCAAATATCAGGGTCACAATGACGCTAAAATGTAAAATTATTGACCATCAATAACTTGTATAAATTGCTTTTAAATACAGGTGAAGTAGGGGCATCCTTGTACTATAGCACATGTCTAATTAATTAGGAAAATTCATATAAATGGTGTAATCTGATTGGTTATTTATCTCGTGGCCACGACTTAGTAACTCGTGGCCACGACATGGTATCTCGTTCCCACGACTTAGTATCTCGTGGCCACGACTTAGTAACTCGTGGCCTCGACTTAGTAACTCGTGGCAACGACTTAGTAACTTGTTAAAGAGGAAGAAGGTTTCAAATTACTAACCATATTTATATTATTTTCTGTGTTATTAACTTGTTTTTGAAGTTTTAATAGTTGGCCAGCGAGTGACTTCAGAACTTTTGCAAAATCCTTTGAAATTGTTGTTGTTTGAACCATGTCGCTCTGAAAGTCTTTGACTATCTGCCCTATGAGTGCCTGTTCGATATTGTAATATAAAAATCATTGAATAAAAGTATCTTACTAACTTACTGTTTGCAAAAGAAAAATGTTTATAATTAAATAATAGATCCTTGTGTATGGAAGATGGATTAATTTACTATGTGAAACGGCATCTTTTTCATTAATATTGGTATCTTAGGTAAAATGAAATTGTACCTTTACTTCATCTAGTTCAAAGGATAACTCTTTCCCATATAATGATGATTTATTGGATACATTTAGCACATGTCTACAACAAGTTTCATTCTTGCACACGCTAGAGAATAGATCTACAGCACGTTGTTCTCGTGCATGACTTTGTTGAAAACCAACGTCCATGGGAAATATAATGGAAGAAAATATCTGATCTTATTCATTCTAACTATACTAAATGAAAAACAAAGTATACAATTCAGTCTAAATGAGAACTGATAGTCGACTTTTATTGTTGTGTCAGAAATTATGTCGGTAAAACAAATGGATATCCGACACCTGTTCATGAAAGATACCATTTGATGTCCTGTGGCAGTAAAGGATAATACTGATATTATACAAAGTTTGTGAGACATGAAAAAAAACTACAAGATAAAAAATAAAGTCAATATAAACATTTTAATAAAAGAACTGATGTAAAACACGACAAGTAAAAGTATATTTAGACATCGTCCAGCGAGTGAATTTTACAGCATAATCTTCATCCTACCATTTAACTTTTAAAGATTAGGTCGTAGTTTAAGATTTCTCTCCTAATACGCTATAGGAACAGTACCATAGAAGAAATTAACACCAGATACTATTATTATTCATCATGATAAGTACAATGTACATAAAATTGGGAAAATTTGATAATCTAGAAATTTGTAGAGTTTGATGGATGGATTTGATATTAATGTTATAATCAGGATATTAACTTTGTTTGTTAAATAAACTTCTTTTTAAGCAGCATTCCCCAAGATTCATGCTAATTTTTGATTGTTTTTAAAAGCACGGATTTATATTGTGATATAAATCCGTGTTAACAGTAAGATATTGTGGAGTGAACATGCAAATTTATAAAACTTTAATTTGTGAACGGCCTTTACAATCCACGATAATTACCAAAAAAGAGGTTTAAATATCCAAAATTAGTCCTTACTGTATACCTAGCTAATGTCGGATAATAATAAAACACCGGTTAATAACTCAACATCGACAAAAACAAGGAAAATAAACGTCCAGCTACCTCGCCTTTGTTATCGGACTATACACGAGTGTTTCGTGCAATAATGTACATGGAAGTAATACGTGTGTAGAGACAAAAACAAGTCAGTCAACAAAAAAACATAGACAGCGGGATGTGCAATGTGAAAGTGACTTAGAAAAGCTACGAAAACTATTCTAATACATATTTGAACAATGGCAATTCCCACCACAACCACCGTTCGCATGGCTCCATACATGACAAAGCCCACCCACTCACAATTTAATGGCGGAGCTTTCAACAATCCCTACCCAAAACCATCTTGGGCGTCTGAACTCCTAGACGAGGTCAAACAAATTAAGCAAAAAAGCTAACAGTCAGTTGGTGACACTGTGAGTACTATAAACTCTAAAATAAACAGCTATGGAATCAAAAATCAACCAATTTGGATTTGCGTGGTCACAGAAACTGAAAAACTTTGTGAATTTACAGCAGATATGAGCGAGAAAAATACTGCAGAATTAAAAAAAAAACCAACTCAGAAATAAAGCAAAATGAAAAATCATGCCAATACTTTAGAAAATGAGAACACTTGAATTGAAATCACAGGAAGGAAAACCTTAACACAAAAACTAGTTGAAAAGAAATGAATCAAATGAGGGAACAATCTTATGTTCTATGGCATTAAAGAAGGCGGAAGTGATGAAAATTGTGTAAATCTATAGTAAAATCAATAATGACAGACAAATTGAAAATGGACCCGGAAGAAGTAGAAAGGAATTACAATCGATAGAGCGTATCGGATGGGCAGAATGACGTCATCAAAAATCCACCAGACAATTGTTGCCAAATTTCACTACCCTAAAGAAAAGGATTAAGATAAGAGCAAGATCGTTTGAATATGCTGGAGATCTTAATTCGGTAAAATTGGGGATTGGCGCACAACTACCAAAACAGCTGCGAGAAGCCAGAAAACCACTTTATCCTGCAATGAAGAAAGCGAAAGGTGCTGGAAAAACACGTTAGATTTGTTGGTGAGAAGTTGTTCATAGATGGAGAAGAATATATTCCGGAAGTGAGTTCTCAACATTAGAAAGGTCAAGAAGAAGAACATTTTAACCATCATATCATGGAACATTAACGGATTAAAGCGTAAAATTAATAGATTGTGACTTTTTGGAATATATATCTGGATATGACATTATTTTTCTTAATGAAACATGGATAATCAATGAATGACACTTCCAAAAATTTAAATTAAAATGATTATTGGTGTAGAACATATCTTTTGGTAATAAGTCCTCAAAACACTAAAAAAGGGAGATTTAGGCGGAGGTATTTCATTTTAATTATAAATCAAATATCAAGAAATTTGTTAAAGTAATAGAAAAAAAAATAATCATGGAATTATTTGGGTTAAGATAAGCGCTGGTTTGTTTAAACTTTGAAGACGATGTTATATATGTCATGTTTATTATACCGCCTGTTGACTCCAAAAGTATCAATGTATGTAAACTTTGATTTTTTTCGAACAATTAGAAATAGACATCTTGAAATATAGCGATCTAGGTAAAGTCTTTGTCTGTGGTGATCTAAATAGTAGAACATCAGACAAACCTGATTTCATAGAATTTGATAAATATTTGGATCATAATTTGACATTTGTAAACACACGTGATATCACAACGCGCGTAAACAAAGATCACGTGATTGATAGTTATGGTAGGCGTTTACTCGATACCTGTGTGTGTGTGTGTTTGGGTTTGTTTACCCTCGCCACCGGAAAGAGACCATATGGGCGAGCATATACTTCATTTATAACCTTTTAAAAAGGGGGAGCTGATGTTTAATTACTTATTGTTATATCCGTACATGTGTTTATGTGCATACCATATCCCCCATGACAGGGTAGTCTCTACGTTACAACGCTCCTGCCATGGAGGAAAGATGGGGCAAATCCCTATGGCATTTTTCCGCAAAAACGTTCTAAAAATTAAATATTAAAAAGCACTTATGATGGTGGGAAAACGGCCTTATCTTATTTATCACTGTCTATGGTCTATAAATTA